AAAAACTTCAAGGCATATCAAAAGGCAAAAACATAGTTTGAAGAGATAGCAAGCATCAGAACCAGACATGGCAGAAATGATGGAATTATTATATGAATTTAAAAGAACTGATTAATATGGTAGGGGTTCTAAAGGATAAAGTAGGCATCATTCAAGAATAGAGGGCTAATGCAAGCAGAGAGACAAATTCTAAGAAACTAAAATGACATCCTAGAGATCAAAAATATTTTTAAATAAATAAAGGCCAAAATAGACATGTAGACCAATGGTACAGAATAGAAGACACAGAGATAAAACCACATGAATAAAAGGTGCCAAAAACATACATCGAAGAAAAGACAGCCTCTTCAAAAAATGATGCAGGGAGAACTGGAAATCCATATGCAGCAAAGTTAAAATAGACCCCTGTATCTCACAATGTACAAAACTCAAAGTGAATCAAGGACCTAGAAATTAGACCAGAGACCCTGGGCCTAACAGAGAAAAAAGTAGGCCCAAATCTTCATCGTGTCAGATTAGGCCCTGACTTCCTTAACAAGACTCCTAAAGCACAAGAAATAAAATCAAGAATTAATAAATGGGATGGACTGAAACTAAAAAGCTTCTTCTTAGCAAAAGACAATAATCAGTGAGGTGAAGAGAGAGCCCACATTTTGGGAGGAAATTTTTGCCACATACATGTCATAGAACACTTTTTAAAAAATTCAATCAATAAATGGGCTAAGGAACTGAAAAGACACTTCTCAGAAGATATACATTCAATCAATAAATATATGAAAAAATGTTCAATATCTGTAGTAATCAGAGAAATGAAAATCAAAACCACTCTAAGATTTCATCTCACACCAGTCAGAATGGCAGTTATCAAGAATACAAAACAATAAATGTTGGCGAGGATGTGAGGGAAAAGTCACACTCACACTTTGCTGGTGGGACTGCAAATTGGTGCAACCAATCTGGAAAACAGTATGGAGATTCCTCAAAAAACTTGGAATTGAACCACCATTGGACCCAGCTATCCCACTCCTTGGTCTATACCCAAAGGACTTAAAATCAGCATCCTATAGTAATGCAGCCACGTCAATGTTTATAGCAGCTCAATTCACAATAGGTAAACTGTGGAAGCAACCTAGATGCCCTTCAATAGATGAATGGATAAAGAAACTGTGGTATATAAACACAATGGAATATTACTCAGCATTAAAAGAGAATAATTATGGCATTTTCAGGTAAATGGATGGAGCTGGAGAATATCAAGCTAAGTGAAGTAAGCCAATTCGCAAAACCAAAGGCCGAATGTTCTCTCTGATAAGTGGATGCTGATCCATAATGGGGGGGGGGGAGCGAGGGGATATGGGAAAAATGGAAGAACTTTGATGGGGCATGGGGGCAGGAAAGATGGTGGAATGACATGGACATCATTACCCTAGGTAAATGTATGACTGCTCATATGGTGCAACACTATATTGTGTAGAACCACAGAAATGAAAAGTTGTGCTGCAATTGTGTACAATTTTGATGCACTCTGCTATCATAGATACCTAATTAAAATTAATTAATTAATTAAAATGCAAGACAGGAAAAAAATTAAGTATGAAAAATAAATAAATAAAGAATGCCTTTGATGGGTTTATTAGAAGATTTTGATACAGATGAGTAACTGCTTGAGTTTTAGGATACCTCAATATATATCTCTAAAACTGAAAGGAAACAGAGAAGACTAAAAATGAAGAAAAAAAAAAAAAAATCAGAACACAGGCATTTATAGGACAACTGCAAAAGATATAATATATGCATAATGGTAATATAAGAAGATAAAGAGGAAAAACAACAGAAGAAATATTTGAAACAATAATGACTGGAAATTTTCCAAAGTAATTATCTGTGATTGGCACACAAAATCACAGATACAGAAAGCTCAAATATCCAAGCAGGATACATGAACAGCAGCAACAACAACAACACTATATTTAGGCAAATCATTTTCAAACTATAAAATGCAAAGTATAAATATTCTTGAAAGAAGCTGAGATGAGAAAGAATACTTTACTGATATAAAAATAAAGAATCTGGCTTGTATCATGAAGGGGAAGGCTTGAACTATAAGTGATGATTAGTTTGGATAAATTTCAGCTCTCGGCACAGTAGCAGGTACCTATCTGTAGTCCCCAGCCCCTTGGTAGCTAGGTTTCCAGAAGAATCTATACCAAGTATAGGGGAGCCAGGGTAGGCAAAAAAGAACCCTGTCCTCCAAACAAGAAATCTCTGCTCTGACCATATAAACACATATGTTTGATCTACCTATATTCTGTCTATAAGAGACTCTCTTTAGATCCAAAGACACAAATAGATAGACAGTTTGGTAGAAGTCTCCAATTAAGTCATTAGATCCAGGGCTCTTCTTTGTTGGGAAAATTACTGACTCAATCCCCCTAATTTATAAAGATCTATTTCAATTTTCTATTCTTTTGTGATTTAGTCTTGGAGGGTTTTGTGTGTCTAGGAACTTGTCTATTTTATTTAGGTAACCCAATTTGTTGCTCTTAGAATCAGCAGTAATGTCTCCACTTTCATTTCTGAGTGTTCTCTGTTCTCAAACTTTTCCAAGAAAAAAACTGAAAAGGAACATCTTCTAACTCATCTTACTCCGATATTAAATATAAAGACACTAGATGAAAAGAAAATTCCAAACCAATACTCCTTATGGAAACTGACCCAAAATTCTCAACAGATTATTAGCTAATGTAATTCAGTAGTATATTAAAAGATATACCACTCCCAAGTGGGATTTATTCCTGGAATGCAAAGATAGCTAAACAAGTGAAAAGCAATTGATGTTAACATACAATATTAATAGAACACAGGGAAGAAACACATTATCCTGAGGCAGAAAAAGCATTTAACTGGGGCTGGGGTTGTGGCTCAGCGATAGAGTGCTCGCCTAGCACATGCGAGACCCTGGTTCAATCCTCAGCACCACATATAAATAAATAAAATAAAGGTATTATGTTCATCTACAACTAAAAAAAAAACATAAAAAAGCATTTAACAATATTCATCATCCTTTCATTATTAAAAAGAACACTCAACAAACCAGAATAGTAAAAAACTATCTTAACATAATAAATTTCATGTGTGAAATATCAACAGCAAACATCACACACATGAATGAAATCTAAAGCTTTTCCTCTAAATCCAGAGACAAGGCAAAGAAGTCTACTTGAGCCACTTTTATTCAACAAAGTTATAGTCAGAGCAATCAGAAAAAAAAGAAAGGAAGGAAGAAATACATGAATGAAAATCTCTATCTAAATGTCTTTGTATGCCCTTATGCATAGAAAAATCTAGAAGATTTCACCAAAAAGACCTGTTAGACTAAATTAAGCAAAATAACAACACAAAGTCAACACTCAAAAATAAGTTATATTCACTAGCAATGTACAATGTGAAATGGAAATTACGAAACCCAAACAGTACTGTTGTGAACCTAAAACTTCTCTTTAAAAAGTTTTTAAAAGCAAGGTGCAGTGGCACATGCCTGTAATCCCAGCAGCTCAGGAGGCTGATACAAGAGGATCTGGAGTTCAAAGCCAGCCTCAGCAACCTAGTGAGACTCTAAGCAACTCAGCAAGACCTTGTTTCTAAATAAAATAGAAAAAAAAGGCTGGAGATGTGGCTCAGGGTTGTTAAGTGCCCCTGGGGTTTAATTCCTGGACACACAAAAATAGTTTTTAGTAAGCAAGAAAAAACAAAAACAAAGAAGCTAAAATTAATTACCTTTCTGGAAATAATATAATCATGTCAAAGAAAATCTCTTAGATATTATATTAAAGCAGCCCAAATTTTTTTAAAAACTATCTGGGGCAACCTCATCACTACTGACTCTTGCATAGCTTATATTCAGGAAAAATTATTCTATAACTAATTCAATATTGTTAAATAATGAATTCCTAATGTTCTTCAGATCCAAGTACATTTATTCTGGTTAAATTTCATTTCTTCTGGATTTGGGCTCATCATCTAAAATCATTCACAATGCACTTCGGTTTTGTAAAATCATTCAATATGCAATCATAGCCCCCAAAAATCATTAACACCCTGAAACCCCTTAAGAATCTCTATCCAAAGTACCATCCATCCATGCTTTCATCAGCCTCCTAAAAATATAACTATTAAATGAGTTATAATGCTGCCTTCTCAGGCATTCAGTTGACACTTCTCTGCAACACCATCAAGTTAGGTCAGACTTCTTCATATTTATGGAAGTACCCTAAACTATAAGTCCAATGAGCCTAGCAATGAAACAGAGGAAAAAAGAAAAAGGTTAGTCTATCATAACCTGTTCTTCTAGAAACCCATGCTGATTTACAATCATTCTCTTCTCAGTGTTCCATCAACAGGAGTAAAACACTTGTATTCAAGGAACAGAATTTGACTCTAACTTAACTATAAGAACAAAAATTAGTCTCAGATGCTTACATGATAGAAATAGGAATATTATTATAGTTCCTCATTTAATACCACAATGCTGTATTTATTTTCAACATTTATAATACTTTTAGTTGGTACCACTTTGGTCTATAAAGATACATTTTAGATTTACTTTGAGTTATTAAAATTTCTTTGTTGGATTTCTTGTATATTTAAATAAATCTCAATTCATTAAACAGAAATGTTGTTAATTTCAAGATTCTTAATAAAAACAGTTGATCTGGTGGAATATTAACTGTTAGGCAGTTCATATGTGAAGCCATGCTGACTTTATTCCAAATCACAGTTTTTCAGAGCTAGAAGAGAGCCAGTATTAATAAAACAACTGGCTTCTGTTACAAATGAGAACACTGAGGTTCTCAGAGATACAGAGTGACTTGACCCAAGTCATAAAATTTACTCCCATCATGCTGGGACATAGAAATTAGAACTATTCAACTACTACTGATAATGTTTCACAAACCCATATGTCAAAAAAAGTAATGAGAACAAAACAAATACTTTCTTACCAACTGGACTTCCCCAAATGCTCCTCTTCCAATAACTTTTACAACATCATAATCTTCTGCTTTCATCTGTAGACCTCTGATTTTTTTCACAATTTTCTCATCTACAATAAAAAGAATCACCATATTTATAATATCAATCATCATATTCATTAGCAGTATTTTAAAATAATCACCATATTTGTAAACAAATTTTTATTTCAAGAAACTGGACTTAGTTTTTGGCTAAACTTGTTTGGTGTTTACAAACTTCTGTTTTTAAAAAAAAACAAAACTTAAGATGTACATTATCCATCTGTATATCAAAGAACCAAAACTCTCTATGGTTTGTAAACATACATATGAGCACTATCAAATGCCAAAAAGCAATAGTTAAAAGCTATTCTGTTTCTAACTCTGTTGATTGGCAAGTTTGATTCAGCTGACATAGTGATAACCCCACCACTCCTGGTGCACATTATAAATTCTGGCAGAAAATTGCCTCATGATTACTTAGCAAGGCTAATCTTAGACACTCTAGTGATGAAAATAGGAATATTCTAGTTCCTCATTGAATGTAAATATAATATTTACTGTCAACATTCCAATAGATACCACTTTGACCTATAAAGATGATTTATTTTCAGTTATTAAAATTTCTTTGTAGAATTTTCCATATATTTAAATGCATCTCAATTCATTAAACAAATATTTTTAATGCCAAAATTAATTTCTAATTTTCAAATCTTTCTGTTGAATTATGATAGCCTATTTCATTAAAATGTAGTGATCATACTACAAAAACAGTAACTAGAGACCAGATTATTTAATTAGGGAAATACCCCAGTGTCTAACAATTCCAAATTAAAGAGTTTACTATAATGATATCAAGTATGTATCAATCATTGAGAATTTCTTATTCTAAGAATTCAAGTTCACTTACTTCTTCACCACAACATCAATATTGGCAAATATCAAGGGTTACTACATATATGGTAATAAATGGCATTATATTATTTTTCCTTAATTAGACCAAAATATCCAAATTTATAGAAACAAAAAGCTTATTAAGCCTTCTGTGTAATTTAAATCAAAATCTTCTTAGAGTTGGAAATTTATCTTAAAACTTCTCTTGGAACATGTCCTACAATAGAGTCTTAACACATACAAAATTTTGAACTTATTACATATTACAATTTAGATCTACAGTTTTGCTCTGAAAACAAAGAGTACTTATTTTTAAATAGAATAAATGGTAAACTAAGAAAAAAAAAAAGTTAATGAGTTCCCGGGTTAACTAAGTTAATAAATTTATGGGCTAAAATATTAATCAAACACAAATCCCATCAAAAATACAGATATGTAATAAACACTTACATCTATTTAAGAAATTATCTATATTCTTATTTTTCCTCAAAGCAGGAAAATCCAAATCAAGGACCAAGGAATTTAAGCCATCCTGTTAAAAAAATAAATAAAAAGAGTAAAAGGACAGTTTTTATAATTTCCAAGCATTGAAAAAAAAAATCTTTGAATTTTATTGTCCTCAACAAATAAATGGCAACCCACTTAGATATACTGCCCAAAAGCTCCATATCCAACCGTTAGCTGTTTTTCTAGCCTCTGCCAGAGAATATCCAAGATTAAGGGGTTGGGGAGTAGCACAGTGGTAGGGCACTTGCCATCATGAACAAGGCCTTGGGCTTGATGCCCAATTACTGCGATGGGTAGGGGGTTTGAAGGGATTGTAATTGAAAGAAAAAGAAGAACAATTACATCAAGTTTTCATTCATTTAAAAAACATTAATTTGAGGCCTACTATACACTAAGAATAGAAAATCCAAAAATAGTAAGATAGTATCTTTACTTTGGGGAGCTTAGTCTCAAAATTAATTTCTGCTAAAAACAAGAGAAAAGGATGATATGCTATCTGAATTTCTATTTTCTTTGTTTTTCTAGACATTTTACATTGAGCATGCATTAAATCATCAAAATACGTGTAACTTGGTGAGCATGAAAAAGGTGAAAGAGTAAAAGGCCCAAGTTACCCAGTGGATATGCTTAAGGAGGTAATGGTATTTCTAAAACACTACTGCATACGTTATCTTATCCCCAAATAACTCTGAAATGGGCAGGAGGAAAAAAATCCTCGTTTTTAGAGATAAAAGAAACTAAGGCTCAGAAAAATTAAGTGACTAATATGCCCAAGGTCACACCCCCAGGAAACAGGCAGCAGTAGAATGAGACCTAAATCTTAGAGGTCTACTCTATTCAACTCACACCCCTAAGCTCAATTTTCAAAGGAATAATGGGAGCTTAGTCAGGTAAAGGAGGAAGCTGGAGGATTGCAGGAGACAAAATAGCAAAGAAAACAAAACTCTGGGGGACCAGGATAGGAAGAAATGTGGGGACTGCTACCTGTAAAATTCAGAAAGGTAATTTGAGATTTTAATTTACTAATTCTAGAAGAGTTCCACATACTATGTTTATTACTACATTACATTTCATATTTTTAATTTTCATTCACTAAAAAATGCCAATACTTTATGAAAATATTATGTAATAACAAAGAAAAAAGTGATAAAACTATTATCATTTTTAATCATAATAAAATCATTTATATCCTATTGATATTTTATGCAGACACACAGAATAATCTTGATTTTCCTGAAATGAAAAAAAAAATACACTTAAAATAAATATCCAATTTCCAGTCAAATCAGGATTATTAAATTCACACTTTGAGACCCACTCTTCCTCCTGGTGCTAGACAATTCCCTTCTCCCCAGGACAAGACCGTTGGAGAATTCCAGCATTGAGCACACTGGGCTATTTCTAAGTGCCAAAATATCAACCTGGTATGTGTGTGGTGTGAGGGTAGAAGTTGTGGGGGAGGTGTCTACTGGGGACTGAACCCAGAGGTGCTTTACCACTAGGCTACATTCTCAGCAATTTTTCAAATTTGAAGACAGGGTCTTATTGAGTTACTTAGGGCCTAGCTAAATTGCAGATTGCTGGCCTTGAACTTGTGATCCTCCTGTTTCAGCCTCCTGAGTCACTGAGATTACAGGTGTACATCACCACACCCAACTCAACATATCTTTACTGGTATAATTATACTATTTTAGTAAGTTTAAATGTAAAATTTCAGTTATTTATATTATAAATGTATCCAAATTTATATTCTGTATTACAATTTCAAATCAAAGAAAGGTACACCCTCTATTAATCTCCACAGGAAGAAAAACTTAAATTAACAAGGCAAAAATTTTCTACTGCAAGTATAAATATTCCTCGAAGACTTTCTAGAAATGAACTATGAATAATTAATATTAAAATAATAAAAGTAAGTAACTCTATTATAAATAAAATCTTCTCTTGCATATAATGAAGACAAAGGAAAACTTTCTTTGAAACAACACTTCAGCTTGACATTAATAAGAGACTGAATTCTTCTTTCCCCCACATCTCAAAGAGATGGGATTATGTGAAGATTAACTAACCAAGAAAAATTTGAAAATAGTTAATATTTTCCCATAATATCCCCACCGATGTAGAGTCAGAGAACTTGTTTCATCAGCTGGAATATTAGAGTTAACTGCTCATTTTGTTTTCTAAACCATTTTTTAAAGATCAAACACTATTTCAATTGTGTATTATGTATGTAGTATTCACTTTAGGTATTAGGATAATAATACAGGCAATGGCACATACAATTATAAATTTGAGTGTGGGCAGCTACCAGGGATTGAATTCAGAGGCACTCGACCACTGAGACACATCCCCAGCCCTATTTTGTATTTTATTTAGAGACAGGGTCTCATTGAGTTGCTTAGCACCTAGCCTTTGCTGAGGCTGGCTTTGAACCCACAATCCTCCTGCCTCAGCCTTCTGAGCTGCTGGGATTACAGACGTGTACCACCAAACCCGACTATAAATTTAATTTTTACTTGAGACATTTTGTTTATTAATTTTTACAATTGACACTTATTCTACTTAGAGTTTACTTTTAAAGAAGCAAACTCTTTACGGTTTTCATTGTTTTAATTAAAATATTTTATTTAAAGATGGAAAGTAGTATCTCAACTTAATTTATTTGAATGTAGAAAAAAATTAGAGAAAATTTATGTTCAATTAATGTGCCAAAATTCCTGTGATATATTCTTTAACCCCATGCCCACTCCATTCCCCTCCAACCCCTCTGCCCTATCTAGAGTTTGTCTTTTCCTCCCATGCTCCCTCTCCCTATCCCACTATGAATCAGCCTCCTTATATCAAAGAAAACATTCTGCATTTGGTTTTTTGGGATTGGCTAACTTCAATTAGCATTATCTTCTCTAACTCCATCCATTTACCTACAAATGCCATGATTTTATTCTCTTTTATTGCTGAGTTATATTCCATTGTGTATACATGCCACATTTTTATTAATCCATTCATCTATTGAAGGGCATCTAGGTTGGTTCCACAGTTTAGCTATTGTGAGTTGTGCTGCTATAAATAAACACTGATGTGGCTGTGTCCCTGTAGTATTCTGTTTTTAAATCCTTTGGGTATAGAACGAGGAGAGGGATAGCTGGGTCAAATGGTGGTTCCATTCCCAATTTTCCAAGAAATCTCTATATTGCTTTCCATATTGGCTGCACCAATTTGCAGTCCCACAGCACGGTTTTCAATATATACAGCTAACAGTGAGATCCACCCTGGGCAGATTGGGTTCAGCAGGCCTTGCTTGGAAGCCTGTAGCCAGTGCCCTTCCTTTGCTATGCAGTATCACATAAACCCTAGGCAATAAGTGGTTTCTGTGTATAGGATTTCAACTGTAATTGCTTAAAATGTGATGCTAAAAATGTGAGATAAAGAAAACCTTAAAAGAATAAAAATACCTCAGGAAAAGCCTACAAATTTTCAAAGCAAAAAGAAAATTAATATTATTTGCCCTATCCAAACTTCCAACTGTACTGAAGTGATGAGAATATTTAGAAGTCATGGCCCTACTAAAACAAAACAAAACCATCCATCAGAAAACATTCAAGGATCAGAATAAAAAATGCCAAGAATTAAAAGTCACATGGATCTACTGGATTTCCAGTTAGACAGCAGCAAGGGTTAAAAATGAGATGAGTGACCACCATCAGACTGACTGCTAGAAAACCAGTATCTGGAATAAAAAATCTCAGCTCCTAAAAAAAAAAGGCTCTAGAAGAAAAAAGAAAAAAAAAAAATCTTATCACCCAAGTCTTTATTATCAAACTGTGTATTGTAGATGGGCCAGACACAGCTTTCAAATTGTTAAACTCAGTACAAATTAACCTTTAGCTGAAAATTCCATAAATTTGTGAGTTTGTCAGAATATGGGTAGTATTTAAAGCTACAAAATGGAAAAAGTCATGAAAAGTGTGGTCTGGGGGTGTAGCTTAGTGGGAGAGCATTTCCTAGTAAGCTCAAGGCCTGAGCTCTGCCCCCAGCATGCAGAACACAAACAAAATCGCCAAAGGAGTGATTACAGACCAATAGGAAAGAACCAAGAGCCACATTTTAGGAAACACTAATATTAAAATACTGATGAAAAGAAGGTGCTAAAAAGGAGCAACCAGTAGGCAGCAAATGAAGACTGCTGTGTGACATCTGAAGACAGCCTGGCAAGAGGGAGCAACAAAATCAGTTATGTCTGGCACACCTAGGAAACCCAGCACAGGAACTCAGCAATTCAGAATATACCAGTGACTTTTCTAAGGATGACTTAGATTACAAATTTATTATTTCCAAATTACTAATCACCATCTTCATAGCACTATGATTTTAATTTAATTGCTGCACTTTTATTTTAAAAAACTTTTTCATTTAAGATGTTACTATGAATTCACATTAAGAGACCATAATAACACCTAGCATTCAATATGACCATCAATTATGTATCTTGTGCTTTACAGTATATGTATCAGAAACTGCAATTAAATTAAATGGGTTAATGTAGCACTTATGATTAATAACAGAAACCAGGTACTGAGCAAACCCCTACTTTACATAAACATTTTAATCCTCACAACATACCTACTAGATACTGTTGTTACACCCAGAGCATTGAAACTGAAGCTCAGAAGTTATAAAACTTCCCCAAGTTTACCCATAACAGAATTGGCATTTTCTGGTGATTTTACTTTATGTATTACTGAACTTAAGTTAATAAATTATTCATGTAATAGAACACTAAACAAAATACAGGTTTTAAAGTTGAGCCAATACAACAGTAAAAAAAACATAAGAAATATTTCTATGTATCTGCTGTACAGATAAGAAACCAGGAAATGGGAAACAATGCAGGTTTTTGTTTTGTTTTGTTTGCAGCACTCAGGATTGAACCTAGGGCACTCTACCACTAAGCTACAGCCCCAGTCCCTTCTGTTTTTTGCTTTCAGACAAGGTCTTGCTCAGTTGCCCAGGCTTTCCTTGAACTTG